TTCTTCTTCTTCTTCAACAGCTGCCTTTGTTTGAAATCTGCAGGGCATTAAAGGGTTTCTCCTTTGCTGGGCAAAGCCGGGTCTTTCTGACCAACGTTTGTAAGATCAATGTCTAGTTAAACATCAACGAAGCAGGTGACTCGCTTGGAGTCCAGGCTTTCATTTTGGGGAGTGGTTGGGCAACAGCTTGTAGACAAAAAACGTGGGCATCAACGAGATGTAATCTCATGCAGAGCTTGTAGCAGTAGAAAGATGTGACATCAGATAAATGGTATGATCCCTTGCAAAGCTTAGAGAGGGGATTTTTTTTAAGGGGGGTGGGAACTACAATAATTCCTTGAATTCCCCAGCCAGGGTTGACTATTGGTCAATACTAGCCGGGGAATTCCAGGCTTTGTCCCCCAAAAAAAGGCATTTGTGACATGAGCTTGAAGTCCGTGTGACATTGCTTGTGTTGTCAAGGTCATGCTTCTTTCTGTTCCGAGGGGGGGCAGTGTGGGGCTGAGACCTTAGGAGATTCCCATTGGTGATCCCCATATGTGAGAGGGTCCCTATGGTGATCAGAGATAGGAAACTGTGGTGGGGTTTTGGACGACAGCCGGGCCCAGGATTAATGTTAACTGTCAGGTTTATTCAGGAGAAGTTTGTTTTTCAGAACCCATTATCACAAACTGGTTGTTTGTTTCAGCATTGACTTTGGAAAGACCTTTAAAAAAACTAATTGGGACAACATGCAGTACTGCAGCCGAGACTCTGCTCATGACCTGACTTTGATCTAAACAGGTAACCGGCTAAGAAGGATAAACTGAGCACCCAGCTCTTGTGTGAGTGAGGGATGTATAGACTGAAGAATTACATTGTAAACCACCCATAGTGTGCTTTAAGTGCTATGGGATGGTACATAAGCCGCACACTTTGCTTTGTTTTTTAAGAGGACAGACACACCCATAAATGATCAAGCAATCACCCTGGGCAGAAAGTGGAGAAAAGCAATTCCAGTGAATCAGAGCAAAATTAAACCACCTCTGATGCCTGAAATTAATATATACAAAATTAATATATATAAAAAATTTATTTTCGTGGATGCCGTTTTGATGTGGTGGAGATGAATTACAGCGGTGCCTCACTAGACAGTTACCCTGCATGACAGTTTTTTCGCTATAGTGATTCGCAAAACAGTGATTCCTATGGGGGAATTTTGCTGGACAATGTTTGGTCCCTGCTTCGCAAACCGGTTTTCGCTAGACAACGATTTCAACAGCTCCCTCCGCGCTTGCAAAACAGGTGTTTTCATGACCTAAGCTTCTCAAGACAGCGATTAAACAGCTGATCGGCTGTTCGCAAAGCAGCTTTCCTATGGCCATTCTTCACTAGACAACGACGATTCTTCCCCACTGGAACGCATTAAACAGGTTTCAATGCATTCCAATGGGGAAATGCTTTTTGCTAGACAATGATTTCGCTAAACAGTGATTTCAGTGGAATGGATTATCATCGTCTAGCGAGGCACCACTGTAGTCAAGTCTTTGGCCCATGTCTTGCCTGAATGTAGGTTCCGCAGAGAAAAAAAGGTCACTGAATTCTGTGCCCCATTAGGTGGAATCACCATTCACAGTATTTTTTTAGCAGTAAAAACCAAACCATCGAGTCTGTGGCTAAATTTTTGTCTTCTGCTGTAAGATCTCATCAAGAGACTGTCTTAATTTAACTGCTTTTCCCAAACAGGTCTAGGTATGAATGTCTCTTTTATTTTGTTCTTATTGTTGTACTATTTTAAATTGGGTCTGTGACCCCATCATAAAGTAAAGAATCTTTTAAAAAAGTGTGCTCATAGATGCTGTTTTGATGTTAATAAAAGCACGATCATTGTGCATCACAGGTATTACTTATTATTTATTTAAAGTAATTTTATCCGGCCTTTCTCTTTAAAAAGGACTCATAGTATTGAAGATGCTTTTATTTGATCCTCTGTGTTTTTATAAGACTGTGTCTGGACAGATTGAATAAGCACCTAGGCAGGCTTAGTATACACTGAGATGGTGTCAAAGCTAAGTGGATGAAGAAGCCGGGAAGCTAATGCACTGTGTTTTTTAATGATCCCTTTTAGACTCTGCCGGCATCTTTGTTTTGTAGTAACTTTGCAAAGCAAGGGAATCAAAATACTTTTTATGAATTGTTCGGGCTTCTTAGTCATCAAAGGACTGGCTGATCATGTGATGCATGATTGTACTCAGGGTGTGTGCCTTAACAAGGCATATGATAACCCAGTAGGCATCTTTCCACCATGAGGTCCTTGAGCATGAATATTATGAAAAACGTATTATTAAGCCAGCATGGCATGATAATGCTAGTAACACGGAGCACTTGTAAGCACTTTAGAGTGTTCAGAGTACATTAACTTGCTGCGGTCCACACAGTAGCCCTGTGAGGTAGACCATCTGTACCAACCAGGTATTGAAGGATGAGAGAATTTGGTGGCCGACATAAAAATTGAACTAAGAATGTTGTGGTTCATAAGAGCTCAGCATATCATTCAGCCCTTAAGTTAAAGCAAGTGTAGTATAAATGGATTGCCCAATTTGACTTATATACCACCCTCTGGTCATTGCTCGCCAGGTGGTTTAGAATTTCACATACATTCTATTTTAATAGATTGTTATTATTTTATATTTTAAAACAATTATGTATCAACTACTAGACACAAGGGAAAAGGATATCAGGCAAAAACAAAATAAATATTTTAAAAATCCCAACAGTCTAACTATTATATTTTAATGTAAGTATTCATGAACCTCCTTAGCCTGCTTCATCAGGCATATGAGGTGAAAAACAGAGATTAATACTGCAAAACATTCAAGATGTACTCTTAAGAGTCAGTGGTGTCTGGTTGCATTCCACATGCTATAATTTATGATCTCTGCTATAATTTATGACCCCTTGCTCTACCCTGTGTTTGGTATTCTGTAAACATTCCAGCAAGAGACATAAACCAGGAGAAAGCAGAGAGAGAAAAGAATTTGAAAGACCAGCTGTAGGCATTAACAAGATTCAAAGAAGCAACAGGGACAGTGTGTATCAATATAGATAACAGTATAATTATTACATTTGTTAATGACTAAAGAAACCTTGACCGATATTCAGTCCATTTATATATGTGTTTATCATGTGAATAAATTTTATCCCAGCTGTTTCTTTCTGCATTTTTGTTCTGTCATGTTTCTTTTCCAGTACAGCAACTTTCATATCTTATGAAGAGTGTCCTGGAAAGGAAAGAAATTTGGGTATATATGTATGAATGCATGCTTCAGTATTTCCTTGGTCGCTCTGCTGCAGTGTTGCTACATAATGGGGTAATGGGGACATTCCAGGAACTCTCTCAGCATTTTAATTTTAGCTTGTTTCAGCGAAAACTACTCAAAAAAATTACAACACGTTAAGAACTTACAGATTTTACTTGTTGTAAACCAATGATAGCAGATGGATATCCTTCTGATTGTGTGGATGTCGTGGTTCTCCCGATCTTTTGATCCAGAATGGCTCATGGCTGACTTAATATGCTTGGCTGCTGCATCATGTCTCGACAATGCTCTTTATAGTGAAGCAAAGCACAAGGTGCATCAATGTCAGACAGATCTGTGTTTTGGAGCTGGGCAAACGAAGACGTTCAACCAGAATAACTGGAATGACGCTGAGACAATTCACGGGATCACTTTTCCAGCATTCCGATAGATGTTTTCAAAACAGCTTATGCGCAATGTCTGCGGTATGTGGGGAGGCTACCTGCTCCTCCCCCCCACCCCCAATGTTTTGCCATTTGATACTCTGACTCATTTGTCCTGGACGCTCATATATATGTTGCTCACACGCAATGTATAGCATACTTTCTAATATTGTAGGACCAGCTCCGTAAAGTAGCTCCATGGCTGAGTGGGGATTCGAATCCTGTTCTCCAGAGTCCTACTCTGTCCCTCTATCCACAACACCACACTGGGTATCTGATAAGATGCCTTGTAAATATATGCATGAAATCGCAAGCAAAACAAAAACAAAAACAAAACCCTTCCAGGTCCACATGGGATTAATAAGATAATGGCATAAAACCTCAAACATTTCTGAAACAATTGCCTCTACAATGCCCTCAAAAAGTTAGCACTGAAAGAAACTAAAAACATCTTACATCTAAAAAGTAACTTTGTGACTTCTTACAACATTGCTTTCACAGATACCGGTAAATTAGACCTTTCTGTAAAAGAAACTAGTTACAGACACCTATGCTACTCGTAAGGAGTGTATTTCCAAGCCCTGATGAGGATGTTCTTAGTAGAACCCTATGCTGAAGGGCATCTTGACAGCCCGTATAAGGAGGAGCAGCAGAAGAAGGGGTTTGGGTATGGTATCCAGCCCTTGCGCCTTGTGGTTTGGAGGGTTGGTTTAGGAAGGTCTGCTTAGTAGAGAACGAAAGTGAAGGCATTTTTAGGCAGGAAAGAGTTACAGCTGTCAGTGGGACAGCCTGGGGGAATGTGGGCCGGTCAGCTGCCCAACAGGGGAGGAGTTTGAGAAGGCAGACTGAGTCACCACCAGCCCAGCTCAAGACTGCCTTTCAGATCTGTTTACTGGAGAACATCTCTACAGAGGACTTGGGTGTTATCAGCTCTGAGAATTGTATGGTTTTATTCCTTTCAGGTAAGTCTACCTGTTCATTGATGCCAGCCTGCCCTTCCCTGCCCGGACCCCATCCCTGACTGTGGTGGGAAGCAGTTTGAACTGCGAAGAAGCAGAAAAGGCATGTGCAATAAGTTTATTCTTAGGTGGTTGGTTCTCATAATGCCACGCCACATGTTGCCTTCT